TGCCCACCACCAAGAATGGCTCAGCAGCAGTATTACAGATCGAGCTGGCCGGGTCCCAAAGGACATAGCTGCTAGACTGGGTCTGCAGCAGGTGGGGAGGGAACCAACAAGAGGGAAAAACATATCTGCCCTCCTCCTTACCAACCTACCAGCTGCAGGAGCATCTGTCCAGGACAGTATCGGTAAGAGTGACCATCGCACAGTCCTCGTGGAGACAAAGACCCGCCTTCACATTGAGAATAACCTCCATCGTGTGGCACTATCACCGTGCTAATTGGGACAGACTTCGCACAGATCTAGCAACATAGACTGGGCATCCTCGAGGCGCTGTGTCCCATCAACAGCAGCAGGATTGTACTCCAGCACAATCTGTAACCTCATGGCCCGGCATATCCCCCACTCAACCATTACCATCAAGCTAGGGGATCAACCCTGGTTCAATGGAGAGTGAAGATGAGGCGTCAAACAAAACATGAATTTTGAACAAGAGTAGGTCATTTGGCCCCTTGAACCTGCTGTGCCATTCAGTAAGATCTTGGCTGATCTGGTTCCTCCACATTCCAAACTACACTTGATAACCCTTCAGCCCTTGGTTTATCAAAAATCTCTCCACCTTTGCCTTAAAACAAAAGATTTTGGCCGCATCATCTTTTCAGGGCGAGAGGTCCAAAGACATCTGACACTCTGGGGGAAAAGACATTTTCACCTCATCTCTGTTACAAATGTGCAAGCCCTGATTTTAAACAGTAGCCCATAGTTCTACATTCTCCTACAAAAGGAAACATCCTCTCCCCACCCCTCGGGGTCTTACATGTTTCAATCAAACTGGGGGAAAAAGATTCTGACTGTCACCTGAGTTGGAATGTCTAATACTAAGGAGCTGCATTTATGGTGAGAGGGGGGGGAAAGTTCCAGGGAGATGTGAGGGGCACATTTTTTTGCACAGAGAGTGGTAGGAGTCTGGAATGTGTTGCCAGGGGGTGGTGGAGGCAGATATGATGGGGGTGTTTAAGGGAATTTTAGATAACCACATAAATATGCAAGGATGGAGGGGTATGGACCAATGGCAGGCAGAAGGGATTAGTTCAATTTAGCGTCATGTTCGGCACAACATTGTGGGCCGAAGGGCCTGTTCCTGTGCTGTGCTGTTCTATGTTCTATGCCTCAGACATTGCTCAGTCCTTTGAGTGTAGGAGTTGGGGCGTCATGTTGAGGTTGTACAGGACATTAGTGAGGCCTCTTCTGGAGCACTGTGTCGCCCAGTTACAGGAAGGATATTATTAAGCTGCAGAGGGTTCAGAAGGGATTTACCAGGATGTTGCCGGGAATGGAGGGTTTGAGTTGTGAGGAGAGGCTGGGGCCTTTTTCACTGGAGTGTAGGAAGTTGAGAGGCAACTTCATTGAAGTTTATAAAATCATAAGGGGTATAGATAGGATTAATGGTAGGTGTATTTTCCCTAGGATGGGGGATTTCAAGACAGGGGGCACATTTTTAAGGTGAGAGGAGAGAGATTTATAAAAAAACATGTGGGGCATTTTTTTTTACACTTCCTAAGGAAGTGGTGGATGCGAGTACAATTACAACATTTAAAAAATATTTGGATACATATATGAATAGGAAAGTTATGGAGGGATATGGACTAGGAGCAGGCAGGTGGGACTAGTTCAGTTTGGGATTATGTTTGGCATGGACTGGTTGGACCGAAAGGTCTGTTTCCATGCTGTGTGACTCTATGACCCTCTCATTCTGGATACTGGTCCAGTAAACCTTTACTAAACTGTCTCAAACTCATTTGCATCATCTATAAATAAGGCAACTGATATTGTGCACAGTACTACAGATGCAGTTTCACCAATGCCCTGCATAACTGAAGCATAACCTCCCTACTCTTGTACTCAATCACCTTCAGAATAAACCATACCATTCCATGAGTATTGCTGATTTCTTGCTGTAGCTGTGTACTATCCTTCTGTGATCCACACACCAGGACACCCAGATCCCTCTGCACCTCAGAGCTCCACAACCTCAATAATATACTTCTTCCTAACTTTTCCTGCAAACGTTTTACATTATTCCACATTATGCTCCACACAGCTTTGCCCACTCACTTAACTTATCTGTATCCCCTTCTTATATCCCCTCACGAACTAGCTTCAAATTTATCTTTGCGTTTTCAGCAAATTTAGCTACCACATTGTTCAGTGCCAGTCATCCAAGCCATTTATGTAATCGTACACACACAGTCTCCAGCTCTGATCCCAACCAACAGAAAAGACCCATTTATGCCCACTTTGTTTCCTGCTCACCAGCCTGTCTTCTACCCATGCCAATATCTTACCCTCTACACCACAAACCTTTATTATCCAGTTGTCAGATGTCTTCTGGTAATCAAGGTATAGCAAATCCACTGGTTCCCCTTTCTCTGCAACAGGTTTTACTTTTTAATTGGCCAAATATATTATATCCCTTTCACAAAAGCATGTTGACTCTGCCCTATTAACTCAATTTCTTTGTAAATGCCCTGCTAAAGCATTTTTTAGGAATAGCTCTCAGCATTTTCCCGATGACAGATGTTAAGCAAACTGACTTTTAGCTTCCTGCTTTAATGCCTCCCTGTCTTTTTGAAATAGAGGAGTCACCATTCACCATTTTTCATTCTGCAGAAAACTTCCCAGAATCTGGGAATGTTAAAACCAGTGCCCCACACCTCACTCTTTCAATAATTCCAGATAAAGTCCATCAGGATACATTGACTTGTCAGCCGGAAGCTCCAACATTCTCCTGGTGATTACTGACTTCTGGCCTCATTTCCATTTCCTGGTCTAGAGCTGATTGTTCAATGTTACCCACATTGTGAAGATCAATACAACAAATACCTCGTCAATTAATTCGCTATTCCTTTATACTCAATCAATTACCTCAACTTCCTTTCTATAGGATTAACTATCACTTTATTAATATTTCTTCATTTAAATATTTACAGAAACTCATTTCTTTTCTGAAGAAGGGTCTAGACCCGAAACATCAGCTTTCCTGCTCCTCTGATGCTGCTTGGCCTGCTGTGTTCATCCAGCTCTACACCTTGTTATCTCTTATTTCTGCACAATGACATGACTTTTCTCTTATTTGACATTATCTTTAATTTTTTTTGGTTATCTACAGTCCTTTTCTTGAAATTTTTCTGATTAGAATGTACCTATTCTAAAATATCCCCTTACATATGTCAAGCCATCTCTAAACCTAATTTGCAAGTTCACTTTTGCCAGTTCTGCTTTCATACCTTCATAATTGCCCTTATTTATTTTATTTTTAAAAGGCTAGTCTTGGACACACTCCTCTCTCCCTCAAGCTGAGTGTAAAATTCAATCATATCATGATCACTGCTACCTATTATTGCCTTCAGGATGAGATTATTAATTGATCCTATCTCTTTGCACTATCCTGGAAATATTCTATGAACTCGTTAGTTAGGCTATCATTGCTGATCTGGAAATGTCAGTCTACACGTAGATTAAATCCCCCATGATCATCACTATGCCTTTCTGATGGCTCTCACTATTTCTTCTTTTGCTCCCCCCAGCTATTATGTGGCTATTACTAGGGACCTGGATACAACATTCAACTGTTGTTCAAGCTGCACCCATCTAGGCAAGTGGGGAGTATTCCATCCCACTCCTGACTTGTGCCTTGTAGATGGTCGGTGGAGGGGGGGGCGGGGGTGCGGGAGGGGAGAAGAGGAAGAGAGCCAGGAGGGGAGTTACTTGCTGCAGGATTCCCAGCCTCTGACCTGCTCTTGTAGCCGCTGTGTTTATGTGGTGAGTCCAGTTGAGATTCTGGTCAAAGATAACCCCCAGGATGTTGATAGTCGGGATTCAGTGTTGCAGCTCCAACAACACTCAAGAAGCTTGACACCATCCAGGTCAAAGCAGCCCCCACTTGATTGGCCCCACATCCACAAATATCCCACTCCCTCCCCACACCGACGCTCAGTCGCAGCAGTGTGTACCATCTACACGATGCTCTGCAGAAACTCACCAAAGATCCTCAGGCAGCACCTTCCAAACCCACGGCCACTTCCATCCAGAAGGACAAGGGGCAGCAGATACACGGGACCCCCACCCCCTGCAAGTTCCCCTCCGAGCCCCTCACCATCCTGACTTGGAAATATATCACCGTTCCTTCACTGACACTGGGTCAGAATCCTGAAATTCCCTCCCCAAGGACATTGTGGGTCAACCCACAGCACATGGACTGTAGCAGTTCAAGAAGGCAGCTCATCCCCACCTTCTCAACGGAGGCAACTAGGGACGGGCAAGAAAGGTTGGCCCTGCCAGTGAGGCCCACATTCCACAAATCAAGCAAACAAGCAGGGAGAACAATTAAGAGAGATAGAGAAGAACAGGCAGCGAGGGAGATATAGTGGGAGCGAAGGCAGCATCGGAATGGGAGACAAAGAGAGACAGGAAGAGAGTGATGGAGTGAATGAGCGAGAGAGAGAGACAGGGACATATGAAATCAGATGGGAAAGAGAGGGAGAGAAAGGGACAGACATGGGGAGACACAGATTAAGACAGGTGAGCTATACAGCATCAAGAGAGAGGGGTCCAACAGTTTGGGAGAAAGGGGTGAGGGGGCCTGCAGTTTGGGGGAAGAGATGCTCGAGAGGCTTTCGGGTCCCGAAACTCACTGCAATTCCCAGTTATCGGAACGTCTGTACGAAGAAATGAGACACAGACACCATGTAAAATTTACTTAAAATCATCCCACTTTTAATATTGAGGTAAATTTATTCTGAAGATACTTTCGGAAAAATATATAGTGAACATCTTGCACGATCAAAGTATATATCTTATTTAATTACAGTTCAGAGAAATACATTTGCAGGCACCAAATGGTATGAAACATCAGTTAAACACATCACACACTTCATATCAAACATTTACACACACCGGGCAGTCTGTTCCCCTATCGGAGGGGGATTAA